CCATCCCCATCCCCATCCCCATCCCCATCCCCCATCCCCATCTCTATCCCATCCCCATCCCCTCCATGCCCTTCCCACCCCTCTCCTCTGCTCCGTTATATAATGCCACTATAGATTTAGCCACTCTGCCATGAGACCCTGCAGATTAAATCTGCTGGCCGGGGGAGGGAGGGACTCAGAGCTCCCAGGGCAGATTAATAGCTCTCTTTTTTAATATTTATAACAATACTGTTTTGTGTCCAGCTCTCGGAAACCCCCATGTCCTGTTGATTAGTTTAATACCAGTGATACAGACAAATGCATTAACCACTGGTGGCTGCAGAGGATCAGAGGGCCGGCGAGGGAGGGCTCCCACAATGACATCTTTAATGTTATTAAGTGCTTTTATCAAGGTCAGGAGACAGCACGGGTCGGGAAGCACAAAGCCTCCAACCCTTCAGCTTTGGGTGCTGGGGTGATGTTTGGTAAAGAGAGGTTCAGTCCCAGAACAGGGGTTTGGGGAATGAGCTGTTTTCTAGCTCATAGAAGCCCATCAGGACTTGGAGCTTGAGGTGTTCCAAAGCAGCATCCTCACTGACACACAGTGGATAAATCCTTGTTTTCCAGCACAGCCACTGCTGAGAGTAACATTTTAGAGGAGAATCCCAAGAGCTTGTGCTGGGGAAGGGAAAATAAATTCCAGTGGAGAACCAAAGCACTCATTGGCCCAGTCCAACAGGAGCCCTGGGTCCCGCTCCCACCCCTCTCATGGAGCAGGGCAAGGCGCAGGCGGGTTGTGAATGCCCCCAGGACTCCTTCAGGAGATCATTTGGCAGCTAGATAAAATTAGACGGATGGAGACAGATTAGCCGAACAGCTGAAGGGAAGAGACAGGCAGATGGATGGGGACAGGCGATCGAGGAACAGGGATGACAGCTTGGGGCTGGGGGCTCAGCCCACCCACAACGGGCACTGCAGCAGGGCTGGGGTTTGGGATGCATCCCCACATCCCCACTGCCCACAAGACCCCAAATCTGTGAGGATTTGGCTCTGTCTCAGGGAACACACTGTGCTGTCCTCTCCATCCCCAACACCCTGTCCTCCCATTGCCACCATCCCTTGCCCAAGTCCCAGCCAGCCACCAAGCTTCCAGCATGCAGGATGGATGCCAGAACCAGTTTGTGGGATCACATCAGGCTTCAGCTGTCCTCCGGCCCCAACCCCAGCCCCAGCCATGGCCCAGCTGCTCTTCACGTCCCCAGTTTTCAGCTGTTCCATGTCAGCCTGGGGTTAACCCTTCCCGTGCCAGCCACAGCTCAGGGTCTGTCTCTTCCTGGCAAAACAGAGGAGCTCAGCAGAGAAAAGGGATGCAGTGAGGCAGATCACATGAGCCCAGAGCAGGATCAGGATGGCCTTGTTGGGGAAAGCACAGAACTGATGGCTGCCAGGTTTCTGATCCTTGGGACATTGGTGATGCTTCAATATCAACTGCAGGGGAAAAAAAAAAACCATAAAACTTATGTTGTAACACAGCAAAGGAGAAAGCATCGCACAGCCCAACCTGCTGCAAGCAGAGCTGCAGCACCCCAGGACTGGCACTGCATCCTCCTGCCAGGCCATGCCACCATTGTAACACCATGCAGGACACCTGGGCACTGCTCTGGTACCCACTCACCTTTCAGACCCCATCCAAATAACCACAAAAGGAGGGGACGGGGCTGGCTCCTCTCCATCCCCCATTGGGCACGGTGACCCTCCGAAATGGCTTTGTTTGCTGGAAACAACCCCCTCCTCCACCCCACCTCCTGTTGTTAAGTGGATTTCACCTCCGTGTGGTGAACAACGATGAAATAAAGGAAGGGAAGAATAATCCCAGCTGCGGGGCCCTTTAAACGGATTGCACCGTATCCATTTCTTTCCTCTGTGTGTGTGTGTGTGTGTGTGTGTGTGCTGACGTCAGGGCAGATTTGGAAGTTGCCCGATGCCGGCCATCTGCTCCTGATTACGGGAGGCCCTGAGCTCTTTAAAATTACACACAGCAAGGGCCCGAGCACGGCCATGTATCCCCATGTTGCTGGCCCTGCTAATCCCCCAGCCCCGTTAATCACCACGGGTGGAGGAAAGAGCGGGGAGGTTTTGCAGGGGTCGATGCAACGGTTCAAATCAGCCCAGGTGCTGTTGGCAGGATGAGGGTGCGATGCTGGCACTGGGCGGTGCTGGGGCTTTGTGGTACCCCGCTGTCCTGGTGCTTCTGGGAGGTTTTGGGGGGATTTTCAGGGGGATTTGGCCATGGGGATGTGGTCAGTGCCAACGCAATAGGAGGCAGCTCAAGGAAGGGCTCTGTATTGATTGCACTCTGGGGAGCAGCTGTTGGAGGATTTTCCATTGGAATGAAGTTTGCAAGAGTGCGAGAGCCCCTCTATACCCTCCTATTGCTGTCTGGGGAAGGGGCTGTGGGGGTTTTGGGGTCCCCGTGCTGTTTGCTGGCACCTGGCTGCAGCTCAGGCAGGAGCATGGAGTTGAGCTGTGCATCCTGCACAGCCCCAGGCCCTGAGAGCGCCCTGGGGTCTTCCTGCAGCCCCCTCCTCACAGGTCTCCATCCCCGTGCCTCAGTTTCCCCACGGTGCCACTCATTGCCCACGGACAGGAGGCAGCCAAACGCAGCCCCCAAACTGCTTGCTGATTGCAGAGCAATTAGCGACGACTTGATTACAGTGTTTAATGAGGTTGAACAGGTACCTGGAAACTTTGGAGTTCTTAATTACCCACTCTGTAATTGCTAGTCTAAAGTACATTAATATAAATGACTGTCTGGGATATAAAAAATAAGAGGCAGAATGCAACCCATGGGAGCGGGGCTGCAGCAGGAGACGGAGCTTTGTGCATCCTCCACTCACACACTGGGTGCACCCAAAAAGAGTCGAACCCATTCCAAAAGAATGTTCCACCACAGCTTTGTGGCACGTGGGCCTCTGTGCCCCAATCTGAGCCCCTCTCTCCATGACAGCCTCGTGTTTCCGGTGCCTGGTGGACGTGGTGCCGGTGAAGAACGAGGACGGCGTCGTCATCATGTTCATCCTCAACTTTGAGGACCTGGCACAGCTGATCGCCAAGAGCTCCGGCCGCAGCCTGCACCACCGCCTGTCACAGAGCTGGCGTGCAGGTGGGTGCCACCAGGACGTTGGGGACAGTGGGTACACTGAGGGCAATGGGGACATGAGGGGCAATGGGGACACTGGGGACAACGGGGACACAGGGTGGGAGGGTGGCATCCTGAAGGGCTGCGTTTCTGCAAAGCCACGGCTCTGTGGGGTCAGGGAAGTGATGCACCTGAAATAGGTTAAAAAAGGCTTTCATGCCCCTTGGGCACAGTTTTAAGCCTCTGCCTCGCTGCCAGCCTTTCTCTATTTGGTGCTGGGAGGTTTTTGGGGTCTGCTTGCAGGCACTGGGGCTGGGGCAGAAGGTGCTGGCATGGGGCAGGAGTCACATGTGAAGGTGATGGGATGGCTGGGGGATATTTGGTGTCACCGATAGCGGGGTTGTGCTGTGGGGATGTCATCACATGAGGATGGTTGTGCTGGGATGTCTCAGCTGCTCTCCAACCCGGGTTCTTCCGGAGTTTTGCGAGGCTGCTGGAGACAGTGGAAAACCCAATCCCTGTTTTGGGGAAGCAAAGAGAGAGCAGTGGTGACTCTGCAGGGAATGTGGATACCAAAAGATGCAGATGTTGGAGCTGACCATGGGAAGGAGGGGTGTAGTGCCCAAATACCCTCCTGCTGTACGCTCCACTGCACCCACCACCTTTATTTTAAGCAGGCAAATAATCTCACCCTGATCTCCATGCAAACACTGCCTGGGGTGCGGGTCACTGCTGGATGTACAGGGGCAGAGTAAAGCAGCCACATGGGGTGGCACAGCAGCACCACAGTGGGGCCACAAGGGACTAAATGGGGACAATACTGGGGCTGTGATGTGTTTTGTTGTATCCACTCTCGGTGCATGCGCACAGCCCGGTGCCATGAAGGTGTCTGCGTGTGCAGCAGTGCAGATGCTGTGCGCGGGTTCGGGTTTTGGTGCCTCCTCAGCACGTGGGACTTACAGACCGACGCGTGTGTGCGTATGGATATCCTGTGTGGGTGTTGCTCTGTGAAAGGATGAGGTTTATAGTTTTTGATGCATCGCTCCCATGCATGAACTGCTGAGGACATCCTTACCACCGGCACTGGTGTTGCCTTGCAGCCCCTCAGCTTTCATATGCTCTCGACATATGATGCAGTCGCGCCACATCGAACATACCCTGAGGTGTATGTTTGGTTGCAGAAGGTGTCCCAGTAGCAATGGCAGCAAATGATTCCCTGTGCATCCCCGCGGAGCTGTGCTTGGAAAGGCCGGTGCCAGCCTGGAGCGCTCTCTTGCATGGGTTTTCTGACGCTGAGCTGCTCTGCAGTGCATTGGGTTAAGTGAGGGGAGGCAAATCCTGCCAACAACGGTCAGCTCCACAATATGCTGCTTTTTCCCAGAGGATGATGCTTTTCTGGAGCTCTTGTTGCACCCCACATCCCCCCCCCGTGCCACCAAGAGCATTGCTGCTGATGGAGCAGTGAGATGTGGGGAAGCCAGCCAGAGGCTTTCCAAATGGTTCATTTAGGCTGCTGAATTGTTCATGTAGGGTGAAGCCATGCTGGCCCAAGCCTTGGGATCAGCCCAGCTCCTGGCTCTGCTGCTGGGCTTCACCTGGGGAAGGCTCTGGTCAGGTCACAAGCATGTTGCTGCAGCTCATGGTCTCCTCCACAGCCCAGTGCAGAAGAGGAGGAGCGGTTTTGTTTGGGACATCGCACAGTGGGGGACATCAGGTCCCTCTATGGGCACTCCAATTTCAACCTCTTCCCCCCTCTCCTCCTTTTGGTGCTTCCTGCAGCCCCCACCCCAGCTCCTGGATCCAGCGAGGCGATGCTCTGCTCCCCAAGGGACATTTTGGCCCAGCACCAAATCGCTGGAGCTACATTTTCTAACATTTTCTTTCGGTTTGGTGTTGGGGGGGGG